AGTAATTTTTTCCTTCAACTAGCAGGTTGACAGAAAAAAAATGACATGATTTCCCCATTCACACATTTGAGGTAGAAGGAGCAATCCTGCCTACTGCTCTATTGCATTCTGATAGCGGGGAGACTTCCCTGCACTAATACACTAATATGTCCAGCAGCGCTGATCGAACAGCAAAATACTGACGGGGCAACTTCTGTAAAACCAGGCTGCCCATACATGAATCAAAATTTAGCCGGTACCACTGAACTGGCCAAATTTCAATCCATGTATGGCTGGCTTAAGAGGCACACATGGAGGATTTGGCTCAGTCAGGGAAAGTAAAGAGTTTTTTTCTTTACTCTGAGGCTTGTGCATCACATAGTACCTGGATTGGGGATATGTTTATACATCTAAAGACTCCTGTATGACAATATTAAGATTTTGCACTGTGAATTTTTATTACACATGACAGTCCTTTACCGCTTTGACACGGCATTTTGTAAAATTTTTCATTAAAATATTTTTTCACCTTTTTAAAAAAAATAAATAAATGCACATCTGTTTGTAGGTAAGAAAAAATGTGCATTTTTTTTTTTAACCCCTTGACGCCGACGTAACACAAAGATGCGGCCTCACGGACCTGGGCTTTTTTCCGTGGGGCCGTACCTGTCTTTGTGCTGGGAGCGTGCCGCTCGGCGCGCTCCCAGCACCGAGACCGCGGTGTCACTGAGAGCCCCGGGTCCCGTTCTAACGATCGGGACCCGGGACTCCCGAATCCGGGTCACGTGATCGCTGTGATAGCCTCTGATTGGCTATCACAGTGATCAGTCACTGTGCAGCCCGGCCCCCTTGTTTTCTCTCTCTCTATGAATGGAGAAGAGAGATACATTGTATCTCTCGAACTCCTGACAGAGAGATTAAAAAAAACAGTTTGTTAAAAAAAAAAAGATAAATAAATATTAAAAAATAAAGAAAAATACCTAGATCAAAGTTTGATCTAGTTCAGTACCAGGGTTAGTGTTTGAGTCAAGGTCAGGGTCAAAGGTCAGGATTTAAAAAAAATTTGTGTCAATGTCAGTGACAGTATGTTTTGTGTAAAAAAAAAAAAAAAAAAAAAAAAAAAAAAAAAACAAAAAACAAAATGCGCACTATTGTTTCTGGGCTGTACTACGGGTACAAATAACATACACATATATGGTATCGCTGCGATCGTCAAGAACTGGAGAATTTATTTTGGGTTGTTCTTTGGTGGTAGGTTATGGTCGTAACAAGAAACACAGTTAAATAAAAAAAAAAAAAAAAACGATTTTGTTTTACTATTTTGGCCCAGTTTTCCTTTAATAATAAAAAAAAAAAATTAGGAGCTATCCATTACCATTTACCACCAAATGAAAGCCCAATTTGTCCTGAAAAAAACCAAGGTATAATTCACCTGGATGTACAAAGTAGTTGTGATGATATGTACGGTTTAACTAACACATGTCAACGTTGCAGAATTGTGCTTAGGCATTTAGATTTGTTTTACCCTTAGGCGTGAAGGGGTTAATGAGAGCCTGGAAAGCCTTGCACCCCAATCAGCAGATCATGGGTGCAGTGCAGGGCTCTTGCAGACTGTGTAAGCTGTCACCTCATACAACCAGTCAGTTACACACTGACAGGAAGCATGAGTGAACTACCACAGCCCTCAACAGCATCATGGTAGTTCATTGAGAACTACAACCCGACAGCCGCAAAGGCTGTCGGTAGTTGTAGTTTCGCATTCCCAGAATACTTGAATTGTAGCAGCAGACACGGGAAGAAGATCCCCAGGCTGCTGTCACAGAGGGACTCAGAGGGGTGCGGGGGCAGCTGCTGCACAAACATGTTACACCCTGAATACAGCTGTAACATGTTAGAAAAGGTGAAATTACCCTTAACCAATTCCATACCGGGCAATTTTACACCTTCCTGCCCAGGCCATTTTTCAGGTTTCAGCGCTCTCACACTTTGAATGACAATTGCGCGGTCATACAACATTGTACCCAAACTAAAATTTTATCATTTTCTTCACACAAGTTTCTTTTTGTGATATTTAATCATCGATGGGGTTTTTATTTTTTGCTAAATTAACAAAAAAAGACAGAAAATTTTGAAAAAAAAACAAGTTTTTCTTTGTTTCTGTTATAAAAGTTTGCAAATAAATAATTCTTCATAAATTTAGGCCGAGATGTATTCTGCTACATGTCTTTGGTTAAAATAACCCAAATAGGATGTATTTTTTAGTTTGTAGGAAAGTTATAGAGTTCACAAACTATGGTATAGATCTGAATATTGATCAATCCTGAAGTACTGACAGCCAATCTAATTTCTTGAGGTCCAAGAATGTCAGAATAGTACAGATATCCCCCAAATGACCCCTTTTTGCAAAGTAGACAGTCCGACGTACTTCATAAGAGGCATGGCGAGTTTTTTGAAGTTGTATTTTTTTTTTTGTCATAACTTTTCGGAAAATGAAAAAATAAAAAAAAATATTTTCACAATTGTTTTTTTACATACTGTCACCAGTGCAGTACAGCGTCATCATATAACTGGCATGGCGGTGATCAGGGACACTGACTGGTGACAGTGTGAAAAAAAAAAAAATTTTTTTTTTTTTTTTTTTTTATTATTTTACATTTTTTATTACATTTTTTTTCTTTTTTTTTTTTAAGATTTTTTTTCATATTTCACTATGTCCAAAGTAGTACAATGTTACCATTGGGGAAGTGATCAGTATTTTTTAATTTATTTTTTTTTACACAATTTGCTTATAGCAAACAATTACTTTGCTATAAGCAAGCATTTACCTGAATGCCATCGATTCATTCAGGGTTTTTTTTTTTTGTGCTTAGCTGTGATTTGGCCACAGCTAATCACATGACATGTGCATATGATTAGCTGTGACCATTCATAGCTATACAGTAGTATACAATGGATGGCATGAATGAAGCCATCCATTATATACAACTGTCATGTGACCTGCTGTGATTGGTCACAGCAGGTCACATGGTACCGACAACAGGGGCCGATACTCAGATCTGTTCGAGGTACACGGCCGGTGACAGATCGCGCCGCTGCGAGGCTCTGCAAGCTAGTACATTTTTCCGTACGCCATTCGGCCATAAGCCGGGCGTCAAATGGTTAAAAACACCCAAACTATTAGCACAATATTATTAACATTACAGTACTGTATATGAAAGCACGGGCTATGTAGGATAAAATGGTGGCAGTTGCAAATTTTTATGTTGCATGATATTTGCACAAATTTTATCAAATGCATATTAGTAAAAAAAAATACACTAAAATAAATTTTAGTGCACAAAAACGCAACATAATACCAAACTTTTGTAAAATATAAAATGATGGGGTTGAGTCAAGTAAATAAATACTAAACATGTCAATCTTTAAAATTGTGAGTGCCTGGGAAATAACGAGAAACTACAGTACCCAAAATTACCTATAGGTGACAGCTGAACCCCTTAACGCTGCACCTCACCGGCCCTTTAAGTGATTTCTGATGCCGGGAGGTGGGGCGAAGTTTATGATCGTATGACCACTGTGACTGGCTGTCACAGCGGTTACATGATCGGAAAGCTTTCCATCAGGCACCGGTAACTGTGCCAGGAGCGCGCAGGGCATGCGCTCTCAGCACAGTTTTATTTACATTTCAATACACAAATACAGTATGTGGCCTCTCAATGTCAAGGCCCACCCGCCAAGAGGCTGCATATTTGCCTACTCAAAGGGGTTAAAATCCTTTACAAGTCATCAGTTCAGAGATACCTCACATATGTGGTGCAATTGGTGTTTATATACTTATGTGTGCCCAGCACACATTTGCATTTATGTATGTGTGTGAAAGGATGGGGTTAATTTTCCTTTTTTTATTCTATTATACATTTTTTTACGTTTTTTCTTTTTTAATTTAACTTTATTGCTTTCGCAAGGGGCTAAAACTCCCTCTGATAGCATAGGCAGGTGACTAGTCTTCTTTATGGAGTCATCAGGGTCTAATATACCTCTAATGTCACCACTGCCCTCCACTGCAGCTAATGAAGTGCAGATTATGCTTGATTAGCTGCTTACCTGATCACAGTAGCCGGAAAAATACATTTCTCACCCCAGAAGTGACTAAATGCTCATTTCTTCCATGTTCGTTTGGAGAATCGATGTGCGGCACCTTTATGGTGAAGTAAAATAGATCAGGCAGAATAGTCAAATAATTTTTACGGAAACCAAACAACCAACCAAGAGTTGGCTAAAAACATTGGTGCCAAGCTCACCCCTGCAGTTGCAGCTGGTTTTAACCACTTCAAGTCCAGTAATGTATATACGAAATTGCAAATGGCAAGTTGTTAAGGTACATTATTCGTTCCTGCTTGTATTTCCTTCACTTTTTAGGGTATATGTGTCAGAATTTGCAATATCTTGCCGAGACTTTGACAGTTGCTTGTTCTTCAATGTATTCTCATAGCAGGACATTTTGCTGTGCTTAACTTGAAACAGTTCTGCTTGGATCTAGAAAATGCTACAAATGTTTGTTTTGATTCTGTTTTGTTCCTTTGTAAATATCATAAGCCATCTGGAATGAGTGTTTAATAGGCTGTTAGTGGTAAATTAAACACAGATGTGACTCAGGCAGGGCCCCTTCACTTTTACACAAGTAAAGTCTCCAGTATGCTTAGATATGGAAAGGTCTAAATGTTTTCTGCACATTTATTTAACAATGACCTCTGCATCACTTTATATTAACACATTTCCACTTAGATTTGCCTGACTTCATGCCTTTGTATCTTGTATCCTGCATAAGGCTTAATTTACAAATCTAACACACCAGGTTAAAGATACTTATTCCTTTTAAAAACGGACAGTTTTTTTCAGCCAATGAGAGTTAATAATTACAATCACATGTCTAAAAATACAGATACATATCTTTGTGTAAAACTTTGTGAATTACATATATTCTCTGTAATCATTTTTTTTTTTTTTTCTCCTCTGTGCAGGCAACAAATGAGGCAAAGCCCACAAGACACAGAGGCTGAAGGTAGTCTTTGTACAAGTGACCGTAAACCAAGAAATAAGGAAGCACTAAGTTTTCTTAGTAAACGTACCTCCAAGAAGAAGAAGGTACCAGTAAAATGCATTACATGCTGTTTTTTTTGTAACTGCTGTGATAATTTCAGTCCTATAATATTGGTGTAGCCGAGACCTGAACTGTGTGCAAAAGATGGCCAGATATTTATTATTTATTTATTACAGATACTTGTATAGCTCCAACAATTTACACAGAGCTGGTATAGAAAAGAATCGCCCCCCTTTAAAATCACGTTTTGTTGCTTTGCAGCCTGAAATGAAGGTAGACACACTTTGTTTTATCCAGCTGTATTTACCCAGTTTTATCCAGCTGTATTTACCCAGTGCAGCTTATAACATCCAAGTGAAAGATATAACACCAACATGTGAGGAAAATAACTCAAAAACAGAATCACCGAGTTGGAAAAATGATCACCCTCCTCCTAAAAATGACTTGTAAACTCAATCTGGTGAAGATAATCACCTTCTCAATAGCACACAAAGCAATTTTGACTTTCGACTGTGATCAGCTGTGGTCAGTTTGATTAGCTCAGCATGAAAAGACCTTTCCTGGAGCATTTCAGTCCCCGATAGTGCAACTGATGCAATCAACCATGGGTGGCAAGGCACTCTCAAAATATTTCTGGGATAAAGTTGTGGACAGGCACAAGTCAGGAGGTGGATACAAAAAAAGGCTTTATCAACGTCTAGAAGCCCAGTGAAGTATTTTATTAACCTCTTCCTTTCTGCCCATTGCACACAGATGGCGGACGGGAAGCTTTGCTGATGCAGGCTAACATGCCTGTACTTCAGCCCACATTTGTGCCTCCTGCGCAGCTCACAGTGCTCGCCCCCCAGATCACATAACTGATGTGTCTGGGCGATCACATGATGTTTTACCTTGTGACTGCTGTGACCACTCACAGCACTCACATAGTAAATAATGGAAAGTGAAAGTAAAAATTGCTTCTCTCTGCTCTCTAAATAATATACACTGTTTGGGGTTATTTTTACCCCAAAAATGTAGCAGAATACAAAAAGTATTTATTTGCAAACTTTTAGAACAAAAACTAAGCAAAAAATGTTTTGTTTTCTTTTTTCAGAATTTTGGGGATTTTTTCATTTATATAGCAAAAATTTAAAAAAACAAGGGGTGATCAAATACCACCAAAAAAAGGATAGAAATTTCATATGGGTACAGTATTGCATGACTGAGTAATTGTCGCTCAAAGTCTGATAGTGCTGAAAGCTGAAAATTTGGCCTGGACTGGAAGGGAGATGAAAGTGTCTGGACTTGAGGTGGTTAAGAAGTGGAAGGTATTTGGTACAACACAGACTCTTCCTGGATCAGGATGTCACTCCAAACTGGATGACCGAGCCAGGAGGAAACTGGTCAGAGAGGCTACCAAGAGGCCTGCAACAACTCTGAAGCAGTTGCAGGAATTTATGATAAAGAGTGGTCATTGTGTGCATGTGACAACAATATTACAAATTCTCCACAAATGTGGCTTGTATGGGAGCCGCTCCTCAAGAAAAAAGCCGCTCCTCAAAGGCCACAAGCAGACACCACTGAGCTTTGCCAAAACGCACCTTGAAGATTCGAAGACCAAAAGGAAAAAGGTGTTCTAGTCAGATGAGACTAACATTGAATTATTTGGCCTCAACACTAAATGATATGTCTGGTGGAAATCCAATCCAGCTCACATCCAAATAGCACAATTCCTACAGTAAAGCATGGAGGAGGGAATATCCTGTTATGGGGGGTTTCTCTGCCGCAGGGGCTGGAACACTTGTCAGGATAGAAGGAAAAATGGATGGGGCAAAATACCGTCACATTCTTGACGAAAGTCTGCTGCCCTCTGCCAGAAAGTTGTCAATGGGAAGAAGGTTTACCCTCCAACATGACAGTCAGCCAAAGCACACAGCAAAAATGACCATACGGTGGCTGAAGGAGAAAACAGTGAATGTCCTTGCATGGCCTAGTCAGAGCACAGACTTAAACCCCATTGCAAGTCTGTGGAATGACTTGACTGCAGTCAACAAACGGTCACCAGCAAATTTAACTGAACTTGGGCAGTTCCGCAAAGAAGAGCCGGCAAATATTACAAAGTCTAGATGTGCAAAGTAAGTAGAGACATATCCCAACAGACTCAATCAAGAGGCAAATTACTGACAGAAGGGGGTGATCCTTTTTCCAACTCTGTTTTTGAATATTCCATATTTTTTTCTGACATGTTAGTACAACTTATACCATCAAAGTGAAAGATCTAACGCCAAGTAAATACAGCTGGATAAAACAAAATTCATTTCAGGCTGCATAGCAACAAAATGTGATTATTTTAAAGGGGAGTGATTCTTTGCTATACCCACTGTATAAAGTACATTCACATCAGACCCTGCCCTCAAGGAACATACAATCTAAGGTCCCTAACTCACATTCATACATACACATACTAGGGACAATTTAGACAGGAGCTAATAAACTTACCAGCATGTCTTTGGCATGTGAGAGGAAATTGTAGTACATGGAGGAAACCCACACAGACATGGGGAGAATTTGCAAACTCCAGGCAGATAGTACCGAGTTTGGGATGTAAACTGATGACCCTAGTGCTGCTAGGCAGAAGTGCTAACCACTTAGCCACTGTGCTGCCCATTCCAATAAATACTCCCTGCAGACATTGAAGTACAACTTAAGACAAAAGTTTTTTTTTTTTTTTTTTCTTTTTTTTTTCTTTTTTGAAACAAGTTGAGATGGATTAGAATGCTTGTCAGTTTTTATTGCTGTCTATGCCCCCATTAAGGAGATTCACCCTCTCCCTCTCTTTGTTCTGTTTACCATTATCATTGAAAGTAAAAGAAAATCCAAGATTTTGGGTTGTCCCCAGAAAAGTAATAGAAGGGACATCTTCAAGTGGGGATAATAGTTCTGGTGACCTTGGGGTCCCCAAGAAATTCCCTTAATTTGCAGGGATTTCCTTTCACTTCCTGTTTGGCTATGGGACAGGAAATAAAGGGAAATCTGCACAATAGGACACAGATGGGTGAATAAAATCTGACATTTCATGTTTTTAGAGGAAGTCCTTTTAATTTAGATATAAGTCCAATCAGTAAAATCTCATATAGGCTTTTACTATATAGGTGTAATTTCAGAAGTCATATTCTGTACTTTTAAATATGCAGCTTTCATTAAAATAACAACTGGTAAACCTACCATGAAGGTACTTGTTTAGGCATTTCCTATTACAGGATGACCCCCTTCTATCCCTGTCTCCCAATTGTGAACCTGTGTTGCCTCGCCCCCATCACATGGGCTTCCCTGGTGGGGATGATATTTGGAGATTATATGTCTTCCGTATGTATATACTACATTTGAATAAACTGAACCTGTACATGTGCACTGTCAATTTCCTGGTCCTGAAGAAGTAGTAACAGACTCTGTAATAGACAGAATGTACTACTACTTGGTCAAATAAGGAATGGATTTAAAATATATGCATGTTGTGCTGTCATTTGGGCTATCATTTTTTTTTGTGTGTTTGGGCAGATTTAAAATCCCTTTTCTTTTAGTCTTTATAAGGTTGTTTCATGGCCATATTCATATGGTGGACTAGGAATTGAGCAGTGTGCAAAGGCAAGGTATCTTTGATACAGGTCATAAGATGGTATAAAGTTGGCAGATATCGCTTAAAAAAAACAGGGTGACATCTGTCGGAGTTCATCATATAAAGGAGTCCTGAGACATGCCACAAACCTCTCACAAAGTTGATAGTGGCCCATGAATGGTACTTTTCACTTTTCTGTGAAGGATCAGACTTTTTGTCGAGTCATTTTCCAGCAGCTTGCTTTATGCATGCATGTCTCTTTTTGGGAGACTATGAGACAGGTGTGTGGTAGTCTGGATAATTGCTCTTGCTCTTATCAACATACAGCTCTTTTTTCATAATTAGGTGCTTTAGACAAACCTAGAACTAAACATGGAGGTTAAGATGGCCATACATGGATTAAATTTGTTCAGTTCAGGAGGGACCGGCTGAATATCGATCCATGTATGGGCACTATGGTTGTGTCGATCTAACAATTAACTTCTGTACAGCCTCCCTGCTTGATCAGTGCTGCATGGTATAGCCTGCAAACGATAATCAGTGTATTCTGATGGCGAGGAAGTATAATGACACAGCGGGGAAGTTTCCCTCATGCACCTCAAATGTGTGGCTGAAGAAATGGGGGTTAGTTTTTTTTCATTAAACCTGCTGGTTGAACAAAAAGGGGGGAAAAACAGACTCATCTATAGGCTGCTTTACATATCAATTCGAAATTTGGACTCTGTCAGCTTCCTAGGTGTATTGCAACCAATTGGTTGCTAGAAAGTACCATTGATGCAGGTTCACTGAGTGGATATCTGCAGAAGTAAAACTAGAGATTTATGACTGGAACTTTTAAGATGCTACAGTGATCACAACAAACTTTATTGAAATATTTTTCTATAGATATCTGTTTCAGATATCCTTTCTTAGCAACTAGTCCACATAAGAACAGATTGTTCTAGAACTTGTCAAGGCTGTTGCCCATACAGTCTCTGGAGTTGATTTACTAAAACCAAATAGCAATTTTCATTAAACAAAGGAATTTACCTTAGCTTGGTGAATGAATTGACTCTCTGCTGACTTTCATCATCCAATCATGTGTAAGCACAAATACACTATATTGCCAAACGTATTGGGACACTTCAAATCATTGGATTCAGGTGTTCCAATCATCTCTATGGCCACAGGTGTATAAAATCAAGCACCTAGGCATGCAGACTGCTTCTACAAACATTTGTGAAAGAATTGGTCGCTCTCAGGAGCTCAGTGACTCCAAGCATGGACCCGTGATAGGTTGCCACCTGTGCAATAAGTCCATCCGTGACATTTCCTGGCTACTAAATATTCCGCGCTCAACTGTTAGTGGGATTATAACAAAGTGGAAGCAACTAGGAACAACAGCAACTCGGCCACCAAGTGGTAGGCCACGTCACATGACAGAGCGGGCTCAGCGCATGCTGAAGCGCACAGTGCGCAGAAGTCTCCAACTGTCTGCAGAGTCAATAGCTAAAGACCTCCAAACTTGGTGTGGCCTTCAGATTAGCACAACAGCAGTGCGTAGAGAGCTTCATGGAATGGGTTTCCATGGCCAAGCAGCTGCATCCAAGCCTTACATCACCAAGTGCAATGCAAAGCATAGGATGCCGTGGTGTAAAGCACGCCGCCACTGGACTCTAGAGCAGTGGAGACATGTTCTTTGGAGTGACGAATCGCACTTCTCTATCTGGCAATCTGATGGATGTGTCTAGGTTTGGTGGTTGCCAGGAGAATGGTACTGGCCTCACTGCATTGTAGCAAGTGGACGGGGGGGGGGATTATGATCTGGGGTTGTTTTTCAGGGGTTGGGCTTGACCCCTTAGTTCCAGTGAAGGGAACTCTTAAGATGTCAGCATACCAAGACATTTTGGACAATTTCATGCTTCCAACTTCGTGGGAAGAGTTTGGGGATGGCCCCTTCCTGTTCCAACATGACCGCGCACCAGTGCACAAAGCAAGGTCCATAAAGACATGGATGAGCGAGTTTGGGGTGGAGGAACTTGACTGGCCTGCACAGAGTCCTGACATCAACTTGATAAAAAAACCTTTGGGATGAATTTAGAGCAGAGACTGCAAGCCAGGCCTCCTCACCCGACATCAGTGCCTGACCTCACAAATGCGCTTCCAGAAGAATGGTCAAACATTCCCCATAGACACCCTCCTAAACCTTGTGAATAGCCTTCCAAAAAGAGTTGAAGCTGTTAGAGATGCAAAGGGCGGGGCCAACTCAATATTTAACGCTATGGACTAAGACTGGGATGCCATTAAAGTTCATATGTGTGTAAAGGCAAGCCAACCAATACTTTTGGCAGTATAGTGTATGTTTTATGCTTCTTATTAGGTATTCTTAGCTTAGTGAATGTGTTGAAAATTCACTTTGCAAAGTGCAAATTCCCTTGCAAAGTAAAAATTCACTTTGCAAAGTAAACACACGCCACTCATTTAGTAAATCCATCCACCCCTCTTTGTGCTAAAGAGCCCAGTAACTTTGCAGTACTCAGTGAACACCCTATAGTTTTAAAGCTGTTGGATGAATAGTCAGTGACACTTCTGTTGAGCTGGTATCTTGTACTGTATACAATACTTTCTTGGAATCCAATCTCTTTCCCTAATGCAGACCTGGAGGTCTAGCTGTAACATTTCTAAGAGTGATTTCTAAGAGCCTTTCTAAGCCTTTCTAAGGACTAGAGGCATGCATATGTAAGAGTAAGGACTATCGATATGTTCATTTTCATATTTGTATAATCCGCAGTTGCCAACCTGGGCTGCCAGAATTTCATAATGATCAGCTCATACCAATCTTTTTTCTTCCTTCATTATGTATAGGCAGAAAGTCGGCTTCAAACACTAAGCAAAAAATACAGTTTTCTACGGCAAGAGGCACCTGAGATCATGAGGGAACTACATGTCCTGCAGCAGGACTTAAAGAACCTTCCTCCACATCACAGCAAGGTAAGAGTAGATGTGATATTTTTGAAGCGCTATAAGATACTACAAGTAACTACATGCGACTAGTCCTTGCTTTATTTTATTAAACAGGCAAACTCAGCATTCTAATTTGATGGCTTAAATACATTTGCAAACTTGCAAAGTGTGACACAAAAAAACATTTTTAAAGTTGCAATAAGCACATTTCTTACGTGATGCGCAATCTTCTTCATACTTTTATGTGGATTGTATTTAGCTTTTTGTATTACAAATAGAATAAAGAAGACTGATTCTTTAAGGCCTCCTTCACACGGGAGATCCAATCAGATCCGCCTGTCAGTTTTTTAGGCAGACCTGATCGGAAGGGCTATGTATTCCTATGGACAGGCGAGTGTAAATGTACAAGCGTCCCTTTACACCCACCTACCTCCAAGTTCAATCCAGTCCACTAAGCAAATGGAAGGGGATCCATCCTCTTCCATTTAGGTGGATCAAAGGGTAGTCATGTGTAAACTTAAGGAGAAGTCGCTCATAGAGCAGAGTGGGCGCTGCCTGTGTCTGCTTAGTTTTTGCAGACGTGTCATTGGCCTGCTCTGCTCCAATCAGCAGGGGATCTGTGAGCTGATCCCATTCTAATGGGAACAGAATCCGCCTCATGTGAAAAGGGGCCTTACACAGCAGTTTAAACTTTAATTGTTCTATAAAGTAAAATATTAGCATACCCAGTTCTGTGTGCCTTTATCTTTCTGCGGTTAATACTGACTCCATCTACATAACCCATACCTTGTTGGATATCTCAACTGGATCTGTTGGTGGGTTTTTCTTCACTTCAGATGGAAAACCCACTTGATGCAGGTCATGTACAAGTTAAGGAAGTAGATCAGCAGTAGGTCAAATGCTCCTGCTAGTAAATTCTGATTGATCTCATATGTCAAATTTATTCTATTGACACAAGCCTAAAGCCCATTGACACTGGTCCTAAAGAATCTCTATTTACTAAAAGTCACAGAACGTGATCGATTGTGATGGGTTGCAGTCGGAAAATGCAGTGCAATGCAGAGAAAACTTATAAGATGTATGCTATCTTTTAAGATTCCATACAGAGTTCTTCCAAGGTGCTGGAGACCATTTCAAGTGCATTTGAAATGCTTATCCCAAATGCCCACCTGCAGAGTCCTTGAATCCCTTTTGTAAGTATAGACATGGAAGGAGATATAATAATCATCTTAAAAGGCCTTCAGACCAGGATTAACACCTACAGTGGTTAGACAACAAAATGGAAAAACTATATGATTTGCAGGTGTGAAAGTGATGACATGTTTTGCATTGAAAGCTGAAGTGATGTAACATTCTTTTGCTTCTCTGTGTGATGACACCTAGCTAACAGGTGGGCAGTCTCACTTTCGTCATTCACTGCGTGCACAGTAATACAGACTCATGTCAGATCTTACGGAGCTTCAAAGAGGGCAGATTGTCAGTGCCCGCTTAGCTGGTGCCTCTGTGACTGAAGTTGCCAATTTATTTGACGCGAGGTACACTATCAAAGGTTATGACGGCATATACAGTTTCCGAGAAAATGTCGTCTGATGCGCATAAGCACAGTTGACACTGTCAACTGACCAAAAGAGACAAATGGACATTGTGCAGGATTGTGACCTGGCATTAAAAAAACAACTGCTGCAAAAGTGACTGCAGAGCTCAATCTCGGTCTTAACGGGACTGAGATTGAGCTCTGCAGTCACTTTTTTGAAGCAGTTGTTTTCTTCTTCCGGAATCACAATCCTGCACAATGCCCTTTTTTTTCTCAGTCAGTTGACCATGTCGACCGACTTTATCCCTGGAAACTGTTCATGTTGCCACTTTCACTCTTGCAAATCATGTAAGTGTTTCCATTTTTTTGTCTAACCCCTGTAGCTTCTAACAAATCTCTGACAGGACCCTCTGGGTTTGTTGCTGTCAAATATAACCTGAAAAGTATCACCCAGACCTGGCGACTGCAAAATCAGCCGGGGGAGAAAGGTCACTCCATGTTGAAGGTGCCACACTGTTTACTCCTGTTCTGTCCCTTTACAGTTGGGGCTATGTTCCTATCCTACTCCCACACTGGGGGTGGTGCAGATCGGAGAGTTGACGGGTTTAAATGGACAGCAGAGTTCAGGCTGTGTACGGGTTCAGCAGAAACTGAGTGCCCTGATCAGCTGATCTGTGAGCCGATCCCCCTGCAGATCCTAACTGAATCGGCCCCATGTGAAAGGGGGCCTAAGAATTTACCAGATGGTATGCAAGATTTGTATCTGCTTGTGTGTTTCTGGTCAACTAGATTTTGAGTGGGTCAACAGTATTGCAGGCTATGGTAAGTATTTCACAGCCTTGTTTTATCTTCCCAAGGCCTCCGTTTTTTTTTTTTTTTTTTTTTTTTTTTTTTTCCTCCTCTGCCAATCTAGGATTTTACTTTGGATTAGCAAGTCAACGTGGGTATATTTTCTTGATATCTGGTGGTAGCGGACAGATAGTGTGCATGTTGTTCTCGGTTGTTACCGGTGTCCGGATTCTTGGGTTCCCAGATCTGGGTTCTTGTGATAATTCACCAGCGCACTGGTCAGTTTTCTGAAAACACATGATGGACAGTGATATCTTACTCATCATGCAGTCTCACTCATCCCTGTACCCTTGGTCTGTGACACTTGTTGGACTCTATAAAGTATAAGTGTTTTATAATTTTCAATTTTATGCAAGTACAATTTAATATCTAAACCATTTATTTATTTTGTATGTGTATGATATGCCTGGATTACATTTGTATGCAAATTTGCAATGTGTTATAATTTCTGTATAGTGCTAAAGCTGCAAGTAGGGGGTACGGTAGCCTAGAAGTAATTATTATTATTTAATTTTTGGTATCTATATCTCTATGGTGTAACAATTGACTCCATGAGGCCAAGTCAATTATCAAGTGGTGAGCATTTTTTCCTAGCAGCACAAGGGTTGTTGGTTTAAATCCCAGCCACTACTTGCCTGGAGTTTGCATGTTCTCCCCTGTGCCTGTGTGGGTTTCCTGCAGGTTTTTCGGTTTCCTCCCACACTCCAAAGACATGCTGGTAGGTTAATTGGCTCTGGTCTAAATTGACCCTAGTATGTGTATGTATGAATGTGATTTAGGGACCTTACATTGTAAGCTCCTTGAGGGCATTTACTGATGTGAATGTACAATATTTAATATGTAAAGCATTGTGTAAATTGACGGCGTTATAAAAGTACCTGAAATATTCGTAATAATAGGCATGTATGATTCATAAACTATTTGTGCAGGTCTATCAAACAATATCATGCTTTTGTGGTGGGTTTTTTTGTTTTTTTTAATCTAACTTTCTTCTGAGTAATTGACTGAATTTAGTTATTACTGAGTTTTGGGTTTCATTTTTTCACTAAAACTCATCAAAAGATTTTATTTTTCTCATAAGTGTCAGCAGAGGGCGCCTAAGAGAAATGTTGCTGCCTTCTGTAGCCTTTGAGTATGGGTGTGGTTTTATTCTTTAGGTATGACATCTTCTGGGTCTTTGTATATATTTTTTTACTTGCATACTACTACACTGCTCAAAAAAATTAAAGGAACATTTTGAAAACCCATCAGATTTGAATGGAGAAAAATATCATGCTGGATATCTATACTGCTATGGACGAGGTAATGTGTTAGGAACATAAGGGTGGCCCATTGTTTGAAGGAAATGAAAATTTTCAACCTACAGAGGACTGAATTCAAAGACATCCCGAAAATCAAAATGAAAAAATGATGCAGCAGGCTAGTCCATTTGACTGAAATTTCATTGCAGCAACTCAGAATGGCCCTCAGTAGTTTGCATGGCCCCCACGTACTTGTATGCATGCCTGACAAAGTTGGGGCATACTCCTAATGAGACCATGGATGGTGTCCTGGGGTATTTCCTTCCAGATTTGGACCAGGGAATCACTGAGCTCCTGGACAGTCTGAGGTGCAATTTAGAGACGTCGGATGGACCAAAACATGATATTCCAGAGGTGTTTTATTGGTTTTAGCACAGGGCAGCGTGGGGGCCATGCAATGGTATCAATCCTTCATCCTCCAGAAACTGCCTGCATACTCTCCCCACATGAGGCCGGGCAGTGTTGGGCACCAGGAGGAACCCAGGACCCACTGCACCAGGAGGAACCCAGGACCCACTGCACCAGTGTAGGGTCTGACAATAAGTCCAAAGATTTCATCCCGATACCTAATGGCAGTCAGGGTGCCATTGTCTAGCCTGTAGAGGTCTGTGTGTCCCTCCATGGATATACCTCCTCAGACTTTCACTGACCCACCACCAAAACAGTCATGCTGAACCATGTTACAGGCAGCAGAACGTTCTCCACGGCTTCTCCAGACCCTTTCATGTCTGTCACATGTGCTCAGGGTGAACCTGCTTGCATCTGAAAAGCACAGGGCTCCATTGGTGGACCTGCCAATTCTGGTGTTCAATGGCAAATGCCAGTCGAGCTGTATGGTGCCAGGCAGTGAGCACAGGGCCCTCTATAGGACGTCGGGCCCTCAGGCCACCCTCATGAAGTCTGTTTCTGATTGTTTGGTCAGAGACATTCACACCAGTGGCCTGCTGGAGGTAATTTTGTAGGGCTCTGGCAGGGCTCATCCTGTTCCTCCTTGCACAAAGGAGCAGATACCGGTCCTGCTGATGGGTTAAGGACCGTCTACAGCCCTGTCCAGCTCTCTTAGAGTAACTGCCTGTCTCCTGGAATCTCCTCCATGCTCTTGAGACTGTGCTTGGAGACGCAGCAAACCTTCTGGCAATGGCACGTACTGATGCGCCATCTTGGAGGAGTTGGACTACCTGTGCATCCTCTGTAGGGTCCAGGTATGGCCTCATGCTACCAGTAGTGACTCTAGCCAAATGCAAAACTAATGAAAAACAGTCAGAAAAGATGAGTAGGGAAATAAATATCAGTGGCCTCCACCTATAAAACCATTCCTGTTTTGGGGGTTGTATCATTGTTGC